TCCCGCTCCGCTCCCGTTCTCCCCCGCACGCACATTGTCCGGGCGCGGCGGCGGCACAGCGCCCCGGCGCCCCGTGCCAATGCGGGGCGGGCGCGGCACGCCGGGGGCGCCTCCACCACGGCGGTGGAAACTTCCCCTCGCCGCCGGGCCGACGCGCGGCTGAAGCCCCCGGCGGGGAGGAGCGGAGCGGGGTTTCTCCCGCCTGGGGGGGCGCCTCGTCTAGTTTGGTTTTTCCTACGTTGGAAGGGCAAAAGCGAATACTGTTACCCGGCTTTAAACTTCCGCGCTCCGCTCTCCAGGACTCGCATCCCGGCCGGCGGGGTGGGCGAGCCGGTGAGTGACCGCCGGGAGCGGGCTGGCGCTGGGTCGCGGTGGGTGGGACGCGCCGTCGCGCAGGGGCAGCGCCCACCGGCTCGGCGGGGACGGGTCGGCAGCGCCGCCGCCACCTGTTAGCGGGGCTCTTCCCCCCGCCGCCAAGTTCGTACCCCCGCTGTGCTGGGGCTCTCCCCGTCGTGCCCGGGGCGGCGGTGAAAAGGGACGGACCCTCGGGCCGGTGGGCGGTGGCGGCCACCCACCTGCTCGCCTGGCCGCGCCATGACTCTGCTGCCTGGGCGCTGCCTGCCCGCCCGAGCCCCGGCAGGCCGCCGGGGTGGGAGGGTGGTGGGGTGCCACCGAGCCGCAGCCTCTGTACCCCCTTTGCACTCCATTCTCTCTGCCCTCCATCCCCTGCCCTCCTTCTGCACCCACTCTGCACTCCTCCTGTTCTCCTCCTCCCAAGCTGCAGTCCTTTTTCCTTCCCTCCCTTGCACTCCCGCTCCCCTCTGTGTCCCTTAGCTGCAGCCGTGTTCACCTCCTCTTCTTCGCACCCCCAGTTTGCAGCCCACTGCACCCGTCTTCCGTCATCGCCTCGCATCCCTCACACTGCTTCTGTGGTTCTTCAAAGGGGGAGCACCGGACTCCGCACTCTTTGCCAAAGCAGGTCCCTGCTGGTCTCTGGCACCCCCCAGGAGAGGCCAGCTCCATGGCGGTGCCGGGCGTCGCCAGGCCCGGAGCGAGGCGCGGAGGGGGTAGGCAGGTGGCGGAGGTGCAGGTATTTGTGTGCAGCTGCGAGCAAGTGAGCGAGGTCCCCCGTTCCGCGAGCATGCGGCTCTGCGGAGCTGGTGACACCTCCCTCTCCCTCCCTCCCTCCCTGCTAGGGACGCTCGCCGCCGGGGCTCTGCGGCGCGCCGAGGCTTCCTGCACCCTGCTGCCCTGCAAAGGGTGTGCGGCGTCCGGGGCTGCAGAGTCTTCACCCCAAGGGAAGGTGCATCTGATGGCTCGCTTGGCCCATGCAAGTCCTGAGTGGGAATGTGTTTTAAATTGCCTCAAGCAGTGGAGCGAGCCTGGAGACAGATGATGAGAAGTCAAAGTGGACTGACGAACTCCGGAGCTGCTGGAGAAATGCTTAGGACAGATGGAAACAGGACTGTGCAGAAGGAATGGCTTGTTAAGCCATTGCATGGCAAGTCAAGCCGTTGACTATTTCAGTGTCCTAAGTTGGATGGTCATGTCTCTTGTAGCCTGTAATGTGCAAGTTGCTCCTGGGTAGGTCTTTGAAATGCAGAAAGGGTAGGAACTCCTGGTAAGGCTGTCTCAGGATATACTTCAGTCTGGCTGGCATGGGTAGGATGTGCAGCTTGGAGCAGGAACTGGTTTTGAATGGAGGAAAACACATGAGGTTTGGTATGTGCTCAGCTAAAGAGTTGCTGTAGTCAGAATTGCTGATATGTTTATCCTTCACAGCTCTGAAGTATTTTAGTTCTACAGCTGGCGATTTGTGTGATTTTCCCAAGTGTTTTTAAGGCAGCCATGTCTGAATCCATGTGTCTCACCCCTCTGTGTGTCTGGTCCTTTCCTTCTCCATGTAAAACGTTTTTCCTGTGTGATTAATAATGTGCCAACTGCTTCATTTCAGCACTGGGGAGGCTGATGCTGATTGATTTCCCTGTTCAGTCTTCTCGGTGGGTCTGGAAGCTGATGGGTGTTATCACTGCAGAAAAGTCTGCTTTTGGGTGGGAGCTGTCAGCATGTCTTTTTTTTATCTCAGCGAACCTCTTACTTCTTTTAATTAAAAAGAGATGAAGTATGCGTGGTAATACCCTTCATGTTTACATAAAAATGATCTTGTAATTAGCAATAATTTTCTCAGTTTGGGATATTGCTGAGATATTTAAACAGGACTTATGACCTGAGGGACACTTTTCCGGCCCCAGGGAGCTGCCCTTGTTGTGGTTCTCTCCTGTGGTGAGTTTGTTTCTTGGCTGCTGCCAGTGGTGAAGGTAGAACAGCAGTGGGAGTAGCCTCGTGCTCCTCTGATGCTGGCCTGGAAAGCCATGGCCATGATTTCGTTACTGAGCCTGGTTGTGCTCCCCAGGGCTCCCTGGCAGCCCTGCCGCCACGCCTGTGGAGATGCCCTGCCTTTGATGGCTTTCACCCCATGGTCTGACGATTCGCAAGGGGACCTTGCTATTGTCTTGGGGGAAAGGAATAAAAACAGGCTGAAAAATTGCCAAGTGACCTTTTTGTTTCCTGGCTCTCCCAGGGAGGTTTGGAGAAGGCTGCTGATAATGTGGGAGACTTTCCCCTGTAAGAGTAGAGATCCTGAGGCATCCTTGTCCATCTTTCACCTGGCTTCCCTTCCCATTAAGAGGAGCAAAGCTCAGCTCAAACATAAGCATTTGCTTCCAGCCTGGATATGGCTCCCACTGCCTTCCCTCCTGCTACCAGTGCACCCCAAATTTGCCTTTCTATTAGGCTGTCCTTGGAGCTCATCAGATTTTCTTAAGATGAAAAACCTTTATGGAGTAGAAAAGTTGGGGGAAACATTCAACAAAATAAAATCAAGACAAAAAGTGCTGCCTATAGAGAGGGATTCCTTGTGGGTGGGTGATGATTCTCTTCTGTCTCTCAAGATGAGTTATATAGTATACTGTATTTTTGTCAGTCTAGGAAAAGCAAAATGGTTGTGCTTCAAGTAATCTTTAATTGTAATTTATCCCCAGCTTTCTATTTCAACATTTTTGAACTCTAAACTTAGACCCAGAACTTATTGAGCAGCAGATAAAAATGGTGAATGTATCTGAATTTTACTTGTACTAATCTAATAATATATTAATGACATGATATTTGATCAGCTCTATACCTGGCTGAAGACCACAAAATAGTGTTAGTCAAACAAATTATTTGACAAATAGGGATGAGATTAAATAAATTATCTATTTGCTAACTTCTGTTCAGCTGATCTGTCATGGCATGTTCCTTGTTCTCTTATCTTTCTCTTCCAGTTTTCATTCCATTTTTGCGTGGTTGATTTTTTCCTGAACTGTCCCTGGTATCTGTTTCATTTATCTCTTTTAAAGTCTCACGGTTTTCCTTCCATTTTTTCTTCTGACTCTTTCTTGAAGCTCTCTTTCCATGCTTTTTGAGTCTAAATTAGCCTTTTTTCCTCTTTTTCTCTACCTTCCTGGTGGAATTTTTTATTGAACACTTCATAGTCAGCTCAACTAAATCTGGTATGTGTTTAAACCCATAAAAATGTAAAACTGAACCCAGACTGTGTCTGAGTATGAAGATGTTTGCTGGTGGTAATGCTTCTCTGCCTCTCCCCGTGTTTTCTGGCTGTTGCAGGAAGGGTGTTCCGGCAGTTCTGGAGGTTTTCCCCAGCTCTCATTTTTGCTTGTGTTCTCCTTATGCCTCTTTCAAAAGTGATTTGACTTTGTATCTTAAGAAAGCAGCCAGCTTTCTTATGGCAGCCCTTGTGTTGTTCCCTGGTTGTGTATCTGTATGCAACGTGCTTCCATCTGCTGTCTGACCAAACCCAGCCCCCCTGCCAGGCAGTTTTTCTTTCCTCCTGGCATCATCCTTCCTCCCCACTGGGTTTACAGCCAGGAGGTGTCTTTCAGTAGGGCAAAAGGAACAAGTGCTTGGATGTTTTCTGGTTTACCTATTACTTGCAGAGTCTGTATGAAATTCAGGTTGATGAGGGTAGGTGGCAAGAGGTGAACAGGTCATTGTGCAGGTTATAGTGCATGACTGAGCAGTCACAATATTCAACTTTGATCTAGTATTCAAAAATGAAAGTATCTTAAGAAATGAAGTTTCTGTTATAAAGAAGACTTGGTTTGTTTTGTGGTTTGGTTTGTTGTTGTTTTTTTTTACCTCTGGATGAGATCTAGGGGTGGGGAGGATAATTCAAAAACAATGAAAGGAATAGAAAACCTTGTTTTTCAGGGGAGGAAATTTGCTCTGCCTTGGCAATAAAGCTCAGGCAGTCCAGAGGGGTGTGATGGGAGTGCTCAGAGTGTGTGATTCGCCTCTGCTGATGGTTGCAGTGATGTTGCAGCAGTGCATGAGCTAAGCTGTGTATGTCATAGCTGACTGCTTGAAGTACTGGGAGTTATGCCACGATGCCCCCTTGTACCCTGAAGGAAAGGTCTGTGCTGTACTGAGGTGAACATCTCCACCTCTCCTCTTCTGACGGGGTTTGGGGAGCACTCAGGTGCACTGATACAGTGAGCAATCCAGGCGACACGTTGTAGCAAAGCAGAATTGATTGGGGAGGATGGAGCCAAGAGGAATATTCTTTTGCAGTTAATTATTTACTGCAGGGAGAGAGAGAAGCTGACGATGTTTGGTTTATAATTACAGATATCCAGAGGTAAATATACCTCAGGATGATCTGGTTTATTCCGTGTGTTAGTACCTATTTCTCTGTAATGTGGGACCAGCACTGTTTAATGACCAGCTCAGTAAAACCAAAACCCTGTTATCAATTTCTCACCAGTGGGGTATGGTTCTATAGCTTCCTCTGTGTGGTGCTAACTGACCTGAATGCCTGCAGAGAGAATAGTCTTTCTGTGCTTGCTGTCTTAATGTATGACCTGCCTTTGGTGCCCATCTGACAGCAATGTGGGCTCTTGGAACAGCTGGTCTCTGTGCTGAAAGTTGACTTTGTGGTTAAAAGCCACAGGATTGTGAATGGAGGAGTCCTGGCCCCCCATATGATCTTGGCTAAGCTGGTTGCTTATCTGACTGGACTTTTCTTTAGGAGAGATACTGACCTAGCAGTTACCAGCAAATATCCAGCCTATGTGCTGTAGGGGTAGGATGCCCTGGGCGAGGCACTCGGATAATGCAGAAACAGTGGCAGCCCAGGTACTTGTATAGTGCTGTGCTGTGGGTCAAACTTTAAGAGGATTTTTCCTTTTGCATAGCTGAATCCATTATAGATCAGACTGCTTATATGCAAGTTAAATTCAAGAGCTGGTGGAGCTGAGTTTAAATGTGTGTGTGTGGGAGCAATAACTTGACGAATACAAAAAAGAGACATTGCTGCAATGTCTCTGGGAAGATGCCTGTACATCTTCTACTTGTTTAGCATCCTTGAGAGAACAGCAGACGTGAAGGAGAAGCTGTGGCCTGTGAAATGAAGAGGATGTTGTGCTCTTACTGGGAGAAAAAGAGGAGCAAGATATAAAAAACCAGGGAGTAGGAGTGAAATGAGGGATGCAGGTGTGCACAGCGGAGGCTGCTCCAGGCTGCCCTGTTCTCCCTGGGTGAGGCTCTGCAGAGAGGGAAGTGAGGAGGAGCTCAGTGGAAAAAAGCATTGTGGAGGCTGCTGCTTTGCAGGGTGGTGCGTTGGCTCTCCTGCTGGTCAGGGCTGAACCAAGGCATGGCTGGCTGGAAGTGGAAGTGCATGGGGCCATATTCCCTCAGAAAGGCAAAGCCGTGAAAAATCTCCAAAGAGTCTGGCCAGCAAGTGCTTGTGCCTGAGGCAAGCTGGGATCTTGTTTAGAGGCTTGCTGAGAAGTGAGCTGTGTTCATCAGCAGTTTTTTGGGGTAACAGGCAGCCACCGTGTTGGCTTGCTCCAGGATCACGTTGAGCGCTCTGACAGTCCGTGCTATCTTCAGCAATTCCGTGGCTTACATCCAGCTCTAGTCAGCCTGCTTCAAACCATGTGTATAGAATAAGCTTGAATGTATAAATTTGGAGCCTGCAAATGATGGATTCCATCCCACTGCAGATAGCCACTTCAGGAGCCAGAGCAGTATTCC